TCCGCGCATTAGGGCACATATCGCGATTAGTCAAACATTAGATCAAGGAGCTGTTGACTGCTAATTATAGATTGCCAGATTTTTGCTTGAAAATGGAGAGAACTGAAGTGTTTGGGGTTATAGAATAAGCAGTTGTTTTGGATGAAGTGTGTTTCAAGTTACAGTCCTCAGTATTCATATCCTTGATTGGCTTATGCAGACTCAACCTTTCAAGAGGCTCAACGTTTCGATTGTATAATCGTACAGTTGTTGCAATAATCTTCACTTTGAAAGTGTATGGGCAGACATGCATAACATCCAATAGAACGAGAAGGAAAGCCACAGCATGGTAAAGAATGATTACTGGTATATTTGTACCGTCATCCTCCTACCAATTACCATGCACTAACTATCAACCCAACAGCCACCCCCCCTGACCCATCCTTTTGCTGCTCAGAGAGGCCATGAGTTGTTATCAACTCTAGTTACTCACTGAACATAAGTGCAAAGTTCGACTTTTAATTAACCCTAACAAAATATTTGAAGAAGCAGTTATAATCTTTGATCATTAAATTAATGATTTCAGAGAAAGAGGAGGATGGAGGTGGTGATGGAACTACTTCCAGGTCATGACGGAAACCACGACTCCTCAATTAATACTTGACAACCGACATGATGACATCATAATTAATCATTAACCCATGCTCCTACTACAATACCTTCCACTTGCTTTGAGGGTTAAAGGGAAATCCAACCTAATGGCAAACAACTCTTAAAGAAAGCAGGGAAATCCGAGAAGCTGACTGATGAAAGTTTGAACAAAATCTGACCAAAGATAAGAAAGTTATAAATTTTTGAAAATTGTAATCCCTATACGTATGGGCACTTCAAATTAGGAATGTCAGAGTGATGTAGTGCTGGACAACTTTGCCATTTGTTCCAACACACAAAAATTACTAAAATGTAAATATTTTCAATATCTATGACTCGAGAGGGTCTTTTCTTTTTAGACCTGTAACAATAATGTACTCTTCATAACATATCTTGAGTAGTGCCCCACGGGTGGAGGCAGAAGAGAGATAAACGGACATTAGTGACATTTTTGTACCCACAAACGGGAGAGTTATCCGCAACTCTGTCAAAATCCACTACAAAATTTACACATTTGAGACCTGATTTTTAACTGAAAACCTTCAAAAATATATAATATATTATTATTCACTCTACTCTTCAATAGAGACCAAAAGTATGAAGTTTCCTAGCAAACCCAGGTAGATTTAGTGCATGAGTACTGGTATTCTAACTGTCATCATGAATTTTGCTGAAATTGCAGATTTATTCAACAAACTTATTTCACTCTTTTTATACAAACACGCATGTCTAAATCATAATAACGGCCCCCTTTTCCTGACCTCCATATAGTGTGCAAGCAATTCAGGTTGAAGGTTCACTCAGCTCCTCATATGGGCGTGTTCATCGTGTTTGCCCAAAGAGAAAGATTAAACAAACAAAGAAAAGGTTCAGGGCACTGACTGAATGCATGAATACCGCCTAAATGCTGGTCATATAACATGTTTGAGTTGTAAGTACACATTTAAGGTAAAGTGTTCAGTAAATAGAAGTTAACCAGTGTTGTATATATGGAAGTGCTGATTTCGTTGAAGGGCGTGATCGGTTGGGACTTTACAAAATATTGAGTAATAGAAACGATACCACGGATCATGTTACTTTCACAGGCTTTGCATATGAGCCATAATTAGATTTATTTAATTTGAAGCCTTTAAATGGGAGGGGACATGTGCCCTTAATTAAATGGCAAAAAAAAAAAAAAAATTAAAAATGAGAAAGAGAGATAGAGAGAAAGGGTGAAAGAAAATGTGAAATGAAGACCAAATATGAGGTAGAACGACACATTTGAGGTAATCTTAAGTTTGGAACTCTACAATATGTGGTAACTTATGGGATATTGATTGGCCAAACACCTTGGAATTGCCCAAATACCAACATGTTGTCCGTTGATTTACAAGCTAACTGTACATCACCATAGCTTGTAGAGTGACACTGGCATGCAGGCCAGCCTGGACCCACCCAGCCCCCCAAAAATTGAATTGTTGACATAGCCGTGCCCTACCTTCATATTTGCTTCATTAAAAAACGTGCCCTGTACTGTAAGCAGCGATTGTTGCAGGAGTTAAAGAGCCACTTCACCTGTAAGGTCCTTAAAATTCTATAGCAAAATGAGGTGATTTTCTAATTATGGAATCAGTACGTATAGGGTGTTTTGGCTGAAGAGTTTGGTCTAATAGGCCTACATGTGAACGACCTCTTGTAGAAACGAGTGTATACCGGGTAATCTCTTTGGGCAAAATTAGTTCTATTTCTGCCTTTGGATTACAATCTAAGATTACTTTTATCACACGTTTCATACGGTCTACATGTAAATAGAATCGTACCATCACAACCCTACCCTGTAATATGTTGAGTTTTCATGTGTTAGTATATATACCCAAGTATACTAAAACAGTGTTCAAAGTGACTTTTCCTTTAAAAATGTGGGTTGTTTTGCATTACTATGGCATATACTTGGCTATCCCTGCACCATTTCCTCGCTGTTTTCACGAAGTGACGGTAGTGAAAAAAAATTGCATTCACTTTGCGTTACGATTTTCCTCACTACCGTCACTTCGTGAAAATAGGGACGATTTATGTTCATCAGAATAATTATGGGTCCTTTATTTGAGCTATGAAAAGTGATTTATTATCCGCCATTCTCTTTCTTCTTACAGTTATATGATGTGCTGGACTGCTGGCTAACTTTCACTTTCTCCTTACTGTATTAACCTGGTATTTTCAAGTACATATATTTTCATAAATGATTGGGACAAAGACATTTTCAGGAGTTATTACTTTGGGCGATACTTAACACTTAGATATACAACACATGTCCACAAGTGAATTGCAATGTTAAAGCAATTCACAAAGTTTTAAATAATAACCATTTAATTTAGTAAATGAAAATAGTACATGTATCTAATACCTGTACATCCAACTTCGAGTTAAATCCAGTCCCCAAAAGAATGTACACTAGAGCATGTTTTTTCATGCAATATTCTTTCCACCCTAGTTTGAATTAATAATTATCAAGTGGGGGATCTTTTAGAATAGGCTATTATTACATATTTTGCGTACCGGTATTATACCCGATTGGACCCGAGTCAGGCCACGGGAAAGACACGTAGTCTCGTCAGTTTACACCCCCTTAAAAGGCATTTTTTATTGTACACAAAAAGCATCACACAAGAGTAAGCATCTTTTATAGTAGGGTGGTGGGGAAACTGGCAAAGTGAAAAACAAAATTACAAAAAAAAATTGTTTTTGAAACGGCAAAGTAAATCTGAATAGCCTGTTCTATGAAAACCTCTGGGGGACTCAGTAAACAAACAAAAAATTGTACAATGGGCAGAAAATGAGAGATATATAAAAAAAAAAAAATTGGTGAAGCCAACGTTACAGTCTGCGGAGTCTCAATTGTTGCTGGAAGAAAATTACTTCTTCCACACTATTGATACAGTATAAGGTATTCTGAACCCACAACAAAGAAAAAGCACGCTTTTCCGCAGAGGTACATTCACTCTTCCAAATCTCAAATACTTTGTTCTCTTTCATCATTCTTTTTCATGTATTTCAATATTTTCATCCATCAACCTTGACTTCAATAATTGATTTTTGATTTTCTGTTTTTGAACACTCCCCTCCCCTCCCCCCCCCCCCCCCCTCAATATCATGTGATGTACATGTAGGTGTTACTTATGTTTCCTTTCAACTGCAAGGCATTTAAGCTTCAAAAAGAAATATGGTACTTCAATCTTTTATATTTCCTTACCATGAGCTTTAATTTGGGGGAGGGAAGGAGAGTGATTGTTCCTGTATGTTTGCACATATGTTTCCATGAATATATACATAGCCCACTATGCTTCAATTCCTATCTGTTTTATGCGCTTTGAGTACCAACAGCACCTACATGTAAATGTATTTAACACAATGGTATTATTATCAAAAAGTAGTTCTCATAGAAAGAAAAAAACACCAAAAGAGAATGGCTACATGTGTATGGGGTGTTGAACATTTCAGAAAATAAAATCTTTGGAGAATTCATGAATTTTACATTCAAAATGAGTTATAGCAACTGCACAAACAGGTGGAAAGTGTCCAACTTTCTGCATGACTGTTTCCACCACTTCCAAGCATGACAGCAACTTCCTTCCCCCCCAAATAGGATTCTTTTTTTCTCCAAAAACAAAAAATTGGATTATTCTATTGTTCTGTGACAGAAGTAGGAAAATACATATATCACGGAAGAGCTGGCAACTAGACTAACCATTTGCAAGGCACAGACGTGACATGACGGTTCCTCTCTGTTTTCGGGGAAGTAACACATTGACACATGCGAAGTGGTTATGAGGTTAAAGAGTGTCATAGTCCTACATGTATCTCAACTTTTGCATCATGCAAGCATAAAGAGGGGGGGGGGGGGGGTAGCTGCAGTAGATAAAACAGCTTCCCTTTGAACTTTTGTTTTAAATTGTGTGTTAGGGGGCTTCAGCAACTTTTTGAGGGGCTTGAGTATGTATGTATAGACTACAAGATATCCCCAAAAAAGAAAATGGTGGGGCATCATGGAGGGGGCAGCAGTGAAAAATAAATAAAAGATGCTGTGAAATCTTACATTTATAACACCACATCCAAAGCAGCATCCATGAACCAAAAATTATTTTGTGAAAAGGGGGGGGGGGGGGGGGGTCTCCCTTAATAATTGTACCTGGTATAGGGTACACAAACTTAATATGATTTTATAAGTGTCTTCTACATGTATAATGGTACAAGCAGGAGGCAAAGACCTGTTTTCGAGGGATATGAACACGTACAGCCTATAAAATATATGTTATAGCCTTTAACACTGATCACAAGTGGGATGGCTCCTCCTTTGATCATGCTGGTGTTGGGGTGGTATAAGAACTCACTGTTTTACTGTCTTCAATACTGCTACAACCGGGGGGAGGAGACCGGTATACTATAACCCCGTCATGCATGGTGCCTGATGATGTTGTATGTGTGACTGTCAGGGGTCCCTGGGGAACAGAAAGATGGAGCAAAAGAGGAAGAGAAGAACAACATTTAATTAACAAATGAATAAAGCTGAAAAAAAGTTCTGAGTCAAATCCGTTAAGACAAAAAAAATAGTTAGACTTGGGACAAATTCGACTTAGGAAGTGTAAATGATACGCCAGTTTGTCCCCAAATTTTTTTACAACTTACGAAAAATTTGACTTGTGCAACTTTGACTTGTGCAACTTCAAGTTATGCCGAGTTAACTGTACATTGCAGAATCAAAATTGTTTATACCTCAATGAATTTCCTAGAGTTTAACAATTTTGAAAAAGTCCATAATTTCATCCCTAAGAGGAGTAGGAGCAATTTTATTCCCCTACATATTTTCTTCCTCCTTCTATATGATTTTCCGGAGTCTCACCATCCCTTCTTTCCTCCCATATCATTTCTTTTCGTCAAGAAGTTTTAACAAGCTTCAGGGATGGAGAGGAGCAATTTTTTTGCATGACAAACTTTCATTTTTCCTTAATAAAAAAAACGCTACTTCACCCATGGTGTATACAAATCAGAGCTTTAGCTACTTACAAATTTCCTTTCATAATTTGTCAGCCATAAACATCAGACAAAAGTTAACACATTTAAAATGCATATCTTAATTTAGACATTGTTGATTAAACACACCCACCACAATGGGCAATTTACTATGTGAATACCATAAAACTTACCAACGTAGCGGCTTTCTGCTGATGACATGTATGTATACCACTATTGATGTGTTTGTTACTGCAAGAAAGACAAATAAACAAATATTTGAATAAAAAGGGTTCAATGTGCAGTGTACACTTCTCTATTTGACTTTAAATGACCTTGATATTTTTTTAATACAAACTTTTACAGTTACAGCACGGAATGAAATTCTTAAAACTGGACAAAAATGTAGGATATTTTTGAAAATTTTGAGGTGTTTATTATAGACAAACCATTATTTCAAGAGGAAGGGGTTTGACTTAAAGCAACTACGTGGAATCAAACTCGAGAAGGGACAAAGTGGCCATCTTTACTTTGAAGTGAGGTGGGTCATAAGGGGATTTCTATAAAATATTAAAGAGAAAAAAGAACATTCGCATGATATGAAATGAATGAAGAAATTTTGGTAGTTTGATTCAATTTGTAAGAGTATTGTCCATAAGATTGGGGAATTCTTCTTCTTGACAAACAATATTGTTGTAGACTCTTGAGTCTTGACATACAATATTGTCATTTGTCATAGACAATTTTTTTAAAGACAAACAGGTACAGTATTGACATATAAAACATTGTAAAAATATTGAGAGAAATACCAGTTAGGCCTGAACAATTCATCAGGAGAAGCGTTTCGTTCTTAGGGTTCATTTGGCATATTTACTTTTACAACATATTTTCTTAGAGAATCAATAATAAAAATGTTTAACCCATTACCAACAGGAAGCTGCTGGCTCCAGTTATAAGTCTATGGGAAGGAGAGAGTTCAGTACTCAACAGGTTCATTCATCCTGAATCAAATAATCGGTACACAGTGATGTATGATTCATCTCTTTACACAAAGAAGAAAATATTGTGTTAACTGCACGTTCAACGAATCAAAAAAAGGTAATAACAATCAAAAAATATTTCGATGTTAAACCTTCACCTACTTGTAGATCTGCTTGTGTAGAATGGGGTATGGCAGGGTAGGGTAGGGTAGGGTGGGGAAGGGTGGAGAGGGGAAGGGTAGGGTGGGGAAGGGTGTTGTGGGGAAGGGTGGGTGGGGGGGGGGGAGGTGCAGAAGGGTTTGGGGATAAGTGTGCAAGTTAGAGGTGCAGAAAGAATGCATTATGTAACAAATTTAGGGGCAGAATTGAGGAAATCCTATCTTGTAAATGTCCAGGTTGTAAATGTACATGGACAGTCCTACAGACATTAGTGATGAAATCAAAGGTGTCAGATTCTTCAAGGGGTGTGCTCATTGTCAGGTTCAATTAAGTATTAGGACGGGCAAACTCAAACTTGATTGGAATGGTCAAGCGGTCAGTTTTCTGGCCAGTAGACAGGAATTCAGAGATTTCCACAAGGACCGCTAAGTCAATGTCTACCTTGTATTAAAACAAGAGGTCATCGAGAACAATCGAGAACAATCAAGATATTCGCATCTAACAGATTTAATCTTCCCTTTGAAAGGAGACTTTTCAGGAAAATAAGTTGTAACCTTAAAATAAAAAACAATATTTCCAAATCAGCTTCAGAAACGGAAAGTCGTCTAAATGAACAGGGTGTAAATTATGTAAATGGAGAGTATTACAGACATTACTTTAGTCATTGTTCAGTTAAATTACAAATAAGTTCATAATGACAAATAGATATCTTTTTCCCTTGAAAGATACAATGTAGTACCATGAGGATTGAGTAGCGCCTCCTGCATTCGAGCGTATAACAGACGAGAATAAGGATTAAAGGAAGTATAATACAAAGGTCATGTCCAATGCTGTTATTCTCTGCCGAGATCTGTTATAGATTTAGACCTATCTTTATTGTCAAACTAATCATCAAGATATCAATTAACTAGATGGAATTCGACTGCGCGCAGTCGAAAATGATGCCTCCGTTAAAGAGCAATTTTACAAACCAAAACAGAAAAAAAAAATTGAATTCACGTTCAATGGTAATCCATTGACAGGTTCTCAGAATATTGTGATTACAAGCAATTTCTCATATACATATATGACCCTTTGATCTTTGACCTCATGACCATAAAATCTACTCAGTTCATTGGCTCTGCAAGATGTTCTGAGTTAAATAGTAATCCATCTGTCAGTTCTAATGAGAATGCGTTCACAAGCTATTTTTGCATACATAATGGGCCCATGACCTTTGACCTTTGACCTTATGAACCAAGAATCTACTCAGTTCATTGGCTCTGCAAGTAACAAACATGACCTAATTTTGGCATGAATCCATCAATCGGTTCTTGAGATAACGCGATCACAAGCTGTTTTTGCATTCATAATGTGCACTGTGGCCTTTGACCTTTGACCTACGTGCTCCAAAATCTAATCAGATTGTCTTCCTATGGTGATACACACTATCATTTAGTTTGAAGTTTTTACATCTCCAGTGGTTCTTGAGATATCATGATAACAATCTCAATGTATGGAATTTCATAAGTTGACCTCTGTGACCCTTGACCTTTGACCTACGTGCTCCAAAATCTAATCAGATTGTTTTCCTATAGTGATACACACTATCACTAAGTTTGAAGTTTAAATCTCCAGTGGTTCTTGAGATATCATGATAACAATCTCAATGTATGGAATTTCATAAGTTGACCTCTGTGACCCTTGACCTTTGACATACGTGCTCCAAAATCTAATCAGATTGTTTTCCTATAGTGATACACACTATCACTAAGTTTGAAGTTTAAATCTCCAGTGGTTCTTGAGATATCATGATAACAATCTCAATGTATGGAATTTCATAAGTTGACCTCTGTGACCCTTGACCTTTGACATACGTGCTCCAAAATCTAATCAGATCGTCTTCCTATGGTGATACATACTATCCTTAAGTTTGAAGTTTAAATCTCAAATGGTTCTTGAGATATCGCGCTAACAAACTCAATACAAGGAATTTCATAAGTTGACCTCTGTGACCTGTGACCTTTGACCTACGTACTCCAAAATCTAATCAGATCGTCTTCCTATGGTGATAAATACTATTCCCGAGTCTTAAGTTTAAATCTTAAATGGTTCTTGAGATATTGTGATAACGGTCAAACGGGACGGACGTACGGACGGACGTACGGACGGACGGACGGACGTACGGACGGACGGACGGACGGACGGACGGACGGACGGACGTACGGACGGACAACCCGAAAACATGATGCCTCCGGCACCACCTTCGGTGGCGGAGGCATAACAAAGCAGAGATTGTCAGAAGTGACACCTTCATCATGAAAGTAACGACTTGTCAGAAGCACCACAAATGAACACCAAACAGACCAACTGTGCTCCATTCTGAACTAGGAAGGTGGGACTCTTACCTATGCAGCATATGCATGTACATAAAGTAGTCATGGTAGAACATTTGTTTCCAGTATAAATCCATGAGGTGTCAAACGGCTCTGCGACTCGGCGGAACATGTGCACAGAAAACAGGATAGGATTCTACAAACGGCGGCGGCAGTGTTATGATTAAGAGTCCAATTATAGCTCTCGCCAAACAAATATTCACGCATTTTCAGCAGGAATCCTTAACAGCTCGCAACTTCCTGCCCACGTTGTTTCTTCTTTTTTTCCAGCAGCAGCAGCAGAGCAACGAGGGGGAAAGAATGAATAGGAGTTGGCAGCAGGTGCTTTAAGAGGGGTGAATAGCGCCTCTTCTAACTGGGGCGGCGGTTGTCTCTCTCTCTCTTTTGCGGGGAACATGCAAGAGTTTAATGGTCTGTGGGTGCAAGGTTATTCCTATAGAAGGCAATTGTCATTTGGAACCATTGGAGGGTGACTTATGATTTTAAAAAGTAAAGTTAATCTTTGTTATTATTTGTCTGTTCATATAGACAGGGCTAACTTTTAGGGTCGACTATTTGTACTTGCGGGGAAGGTGGGTGCAGTTTGTTTTGTCTGCTTCCTGGTTGGAGCTGCTCTGAAATGGGGTTGGGTTAGCGATTGTTATATCTTTCTCTCTTTTTAACTTTATCTCTCTCTCTCTCTCTCTTTCCTTTTCTCTAAATCTGCTTCCCCCCCCCCCCCCCGGCCCCCCTCTCTCTCTCTCTCTCTCTATTTTCCCCTTATCTCTCCTGTCTACTTTTCTTACTCATTTTCTCTTTAACTTTATCACTCCCCTTTTTCTGTCTGTCCGTCTCTCTCTCTCTCTCTCTCTCTCTGTCCCCCTTCCCCCCCCCCCACCCCTTCAATGTTTGTTTCTCTTTGTGGGTCCTGACTCTCCCCCTCCCTCACTCCCTCCCTCTCTCTCCCCCTCCCTCCCTCTGTCCCTCTCTCTGCCCCTCCTCCCCTCTATAGTTGTGTTTCTCTGCAAGTCCCTGAACCTCTCTCACTCTCTCATTCCCCCAACCCATATTTTTGTTTCTCTTTCACCCCCTCCCCACTCTCTCTCTCTCTATATATATATCACCCCCATCCCCCATGAGTGTGTCTCTCTCCCTGTGTATCCCTGACTTTCTCTATACGTCTCTCTCTCTCTCTCTTTATCTGTATATTTGCATGTACACATACAAATCTTTCTACTTCTCTTTCCTCTTGAAAGTTATGTTCTATCTGTCTGTTTTCTGTCTTCTTTTTTTTTAACCTCTGATCAATCTTTAATGAAAACAGACACAAGCTGTAAATGACAAGTGCAAAAGTGTAAAAATTTAAATGTCCAACCTTGAGAGCAAAACAAATAAAATTCCAGAGCAAAATCAAATAGTGCTCTATTGTATTCAGCACTATTAAACAGGCCTTGGAATTAATATGAAAAAAGACAACTTAATTCAATGGGCATTGTTATTTGCTGTCAATGGTCAATTTGGAAATGCTTTCAACAATCATTTATTGAAATAATAAATGACATATTCAATCGGCCTTGGCTTCTATCAGAGTTTGCCCTCTCTTATTAGACAAATATGCATTTCAACAGAAATACAATGATTTAAGGCAATGTTTAAAACTTCTAAAGATTTTTAGAATAAACATGGCAGTTATGCCCTACTAAGTTGTTCCATATTAATCTGTCAAAATCTGACCTTCGGAATTCAATTTGAAAGAAAA